GGTCGAATATGACATACTGTCGGGTCATGGTACCTTGAAGTGAGCTAGTAAACTACCGATTTATAGACTATTTGCCGTATGAGTATATGTTGCCCATGGTGCACCACGTGGGAGTAAGTCTATCGCACACCCCGTGTAATAGAAAGTATTTTCCTCTCTACAGACGATACAAGCATCCGAGCAGTCATTGAGAAGTGAACTAGCTGCAGCTCAAAGTAGCATTCGAGAAAGTCGAAGGGCAATAGATACCGGAGAACAGGAAACACTGAGAATACGAGATGAACTAGCATCTACTATGCGAGACATTCAGCGACTGACTGCGGAGTTGCATGTAGGTTCGGAAGGAGATTGTATAATCATATGTTAACAATTATCACAGCGTACTGATTAAGACAAATATGTTTACCCTAATGCTTTGGATTCAAGTAGAAGTAACACTTGGTTTGTACAGTATTGAGACCATGTCTAGTTGCCCGGCTTTGCGGTAAATATCAACCCTATGATAACTGACAAGAGCTCATCTTGAGCAGCGAGTTAGAAACTCGCATTATGTCTTCCCACCATCTTGTCAAATTTTTAAACAGTCCAATTCGTCGCGGGATCCACTGGACAAACTGCAATTATCGTGCCGTCGTACACATTGTTGACACATACAGGATTTTATTGATCGCACAAGACATAGTTATATCCTAGACGTAGGTTATCTGCACGCAATGTGGCCTAAATTCATACAGAACAGGCATATTTAGTAGAGGTAGTTAACTATCATTCAAAGATGTTTGTTTCAGAGTATCATGATTAAGGGAGTTTAAGTTGATTCCCAAGAGAACCTGTTTAGATGTTAAAGGAAAATAATTAAATACAACTCAGAAAGATAGTCTAAATTAAGACTTACTTCTCCTAGATGGCTACAATTGCAACTTTAAAGCTTAAACTTAACCCGAATCAATCAGCTACCAAAATTAAATCTTTATACCCTTATCCAAATTGTTGTTCACTGCGACAGAATGCAGAGGGCGACAGAGAAGCGCTGAAGGTACGCGCTGACGGTTATTTGAGCGAACTCGCCAGACAGGAGCGTTTGTTGGAGGAGAGAGCGCGTGAACGTGATCTTCTGGCCGAACAAGCCCGTGCTGCTACAGAGGATGCAGAGGTCTGGCGTGCTCGATGGACAGATGCGGAATCGGCGGCAGCTAACGCGCGTCTCCAAAGCGATGAATGTGCAAATGAGATTGCTCGGCTGCGAGACACTCTTGAAGGAAAGGATCGAGAATTGATGCAATGCAAGTCTGCTCTGAGCAAAGCTGAGTTACAGGTTGGTTATTAGTTTTAATGTTGTTTTTAATTAATAATGTCTGGTTACATGGAGTATTATTGACTTCTATCCTCACAAATGCAGAGAACGGATTTAAACATACTTCGACAAGACATTCTACCCGCTTGACTATAAGTAGGGCTGCTAAATTTGTTTAAAGGATACAGAAAATGTGAATTGTGCGAAACGCTTTACCTCGTATTGAGTGGAGAACAAAATGGATGCACTGTGAAAGTTGTTGAAAATTATCCACTTCAGATCCAGAAAAAAAATTAAGGAGAAGTCATTTTTAGTCACACTACTCTTTCAGTGATTGAAATGATAGTGAGTGGGGATCAACGTAGAGAGGCATTTTAATTTGCTTAACAAGTCATACATGCACCTGAGATCAGCAAGAATCCTTCATACCCCATTTGAAAAGTTAAGAATACGTCATTATTTACTCACTTAGTTTTATTAGTTCATAAAAAGTGATTCAGATTAGAGAACGCAGAAGATGTTCTACTCTCAATGCACCAAAGCCGGTTCCAATCACTTCTCTTCCGAATTTCTATTCGATGCATTAGCAGAGGCGATCTATTAATACCTACTTATTATTCGCAAAACTCCTATGAGCACTGATTTGAAAGAACTTAACTTATCTACTGAAATAAGTCAGTAATGTGGCTATATATACACATTTATGTATTTCAAATGGCAGGCGTTTGGATAGTTATCATTAGCCCTTTAGCTGACTTCGGCCTTCACGGAGAGTTTATAAATATATATATACATATATACCGGCAGTTGACTTATATATATTAAAATTTAGAACAAAATGAGAACTTTCAAAGGAAGTAAGAGGAGCTATGGATTGAAAGGAGCTGGCTGAAGGACCTGACTGTTGGAGTTGAAGAGGAAGGTGTCGGAAGGCTGAACGTAGGGATCGGGTTGTGTGGGTTAAAATAGGGTATATATTGATGAAGAGTATGTTAAGATAGTTGGGATAAGGCAGTAAAGAATCCATTTGGGCACTAAAAGTTAAACCCATTGCGAGTAGGACTTTAATTTGGGGGTAATTTTATATCCGATGGTGGCATGAAGCCAAGATCTTCCAGTACGTCTAAAACTTAAAGTAGGGACCATAGAGAGGGTTAAGCGTGTACAAATATTCATAGATATTCGTTCATTTAAGTAGTATACTTGATGCCGCCTAAAATGTCTGCATTACAGGTACAAAATCTGGGTCAGAAGAATACAGAGAGTGGCGAGGCTGCAGGACTAGCTCGAGCGGAGGTAGAAGCTCTTTCCTCTGAGGTTTCACGCCTTCGTGAAGCATTGGGTCGTGCAGAAGCTGCTCGTGGAGCACTGGAACTAGAGGCTGTCCACGCTCGAGTAGCAGCTGAAGAAGCGCGAGCAAAAGCTGCCGCTGCGGAGGCTGACGCTGCTGTTGCCCACGAGAGTGCCGCCGTGGAACGCGAAAATGCTCGTAACGCCAATTTCCTCTTGCAAAGTGCTAAGGAAAAAGAGCGAGATGTCACTGCTGAGGTGCAGGTGCGTCAACCTTACCATGGCTACTGTTCTACTGCCACTGTGCATTATTTTAAACCAGCACACTCACATCTTTTATAATTGGGTCTTTCAATTGCGCCAATCTTTCAACGCACCGGAAGTAATAAAATGGGATGTCATGACTTTGTTCACCCACAGAGAGCCATCATTCTAGACTAATCCAATGAGAAATGCGACAGTGATTTAGGTATTTAGGTACCTAAAATTATAACAGAGACGTGGCATGAGTACTCAGGCTATGAGAGTTGTTCTGATTTATGAAATGATAAAACATCAGATTAATATAACTTGATATAAAGGAATTGTGGAGCATTTTAAGGGGGGAAATCAGAACATCGATAAATTTTCCTTACGCTTGTTTCATTATTTCAATTTTTGAGAAAATTCTCTTGTCATTGGTAAAGTGTTCTCTAGAGGATTTTGTAGATCAAAAGGAGGCATTTGACAGTAACATCGAATCCAGAAGATTCTAACAATCTGAACGTAGGAAAAAGGCAGAACACTTCAATAGGAGAGGGAGGAGGGGGAGGTTTAGGGGTATCAAAGGAGTTCGATTTCATTTGAATTTTGATCCAAGTTGTACGCTTGCACCTCCACTACGATCTTCAAGTACAATCACAGACAGAGAAGAAGAAGACGACAACGACGAAGAGGAACAAGAAGAATAAGAATAAAAAGAAGAAGAAGTAGAAGAAAAAGAGAAAGGAGAAAGCGTACAGTCCTCATTTTCTACAGAAAACTTGCAAGAGTTCAACTTGAACTACACTCAATTTAGAGTAAATAGCACTACTTCATATAAACACTATAAAGAAAAATCGTTTTTTTAGCAATGATTGGGAAACAAATATTAATGTTGCCAATAGAGAGTGCTAATAATTTTTTTCCAAAACTACTCTTTTTCCCCTCCAGTAGTCGATATTGGCTTTCACGTGCCTTGGCCATTTTGCCTTTGTTATCCACCCAGACTAATTTGAAAGCATTTTGCGTTATCCACTTGCCTCTCGCTTCTGTTGCTCGTTCTTGTCTTCCTCTCTCTCTGTTGAACAGTCTACTTTTTCCAACTCTGGATTGTTCGCACTAGGATTTATGGACTGCGGTTGCCTCTATAAATTATTTCAAATGGCAGGCGAATTGATCGCTATCATTACCCATTTAGCTGACTTTGGGCTTCACAGAAGGAAGGTTCATCAATGTAGCAGAAAGTCGAGGGGTGGGGAACAGAAGAGCGGCTCACTGATGTAATAGAGGCAGACAGACACAAAGGTAGAGAAAAAGGTAAGATGAGTACTGTGGAAGGGGTCAAATATGGCAAGCAGTCGGGCCATGGTAATCTGAAGTCAGAAGTCAACTGCCAGTTAATAGACTTTTTGCCGTATAAGTATACGTTGCCCAGGATGCACCACGTGGAGGTAAGTCTATCGCACACCCCGCCTCTATAAAATAAATATCACGTTTCTACAAAACCGATAGAGAAGCAG